TATGCACAGTAAATAAATCACAGTATAGAAATCAGAGTAAATAAATCAGAGTAAATGAATCACAGTACACAAGAAAATAAATATCGAAGCCAATGGTTCTCGAACATCTGTAACATACAAGGGATTAGTAACAAGAGAGGGGACACAACAATATGCACAGTAAATAAATTGATGGTTGTCGAATGCCTGCAACAAACAAAGGGTTAGTAACAAGAGAAAGGACGAGTATGAGACGCGCGCCCACCCTCCGCGACGGTTCACGAGAGAATGAGGAAGCTAACGCCGTTATGTATTGGGCGTACGCAGGTTTGTTCGTGTTGAATTGTTTTTGCCGATTTGAACGACCTTCCTCCTTGAACGACCCAAACACCAGATGGTACGGCCAGGTACTGTCATAGTACACGGCGTACACGGCTAGGTCAATAAACTGTGTGACGCAACGTCACTAGCGCGTTGGACCGATGGAGAGCACCGATACCGCGGTACTTTCTACCGTACTCTCTCGCTCGCACATTACCCCCCATAGACCCCTGAAATTCCTCGGCACACTTCAACACCGACGGAGAGCACCGATACCGCGGCTCGCTCTACCGCTCTCATTCTCTCCCGTTCGCCCGCACCGACCATCTTCGGCATAGTTCTGTACGCGTCGACACCGACGGAGAGTAACGAAACCACGGCTCGCTCTACCGCTGTCGTTTATTTATGATGTTCATATTCCCCAAATAAATATAATTTTTAACTAATTTTGTTTAAGCGACATGTTCCTTTTAAGGATTTAGCTCTCCAGTATAAATTCCTAAGACCGTTATTTATTATTCATTTCATATCGTTAAATACGATTTTTCTCACAGGATACCGATTTCTATTACAGTATCATTCTAATTAACATTCTAATTTTATAGCCCTAAACTGGGTACCTGAAAGTATTTCATTGAATTTCTGTAAAAGATTTTACTACTTCCTAAAAGGCTCCGTGTGATATTTGATAGCCTAAAAAACAATGTGCCAATACAGGGTTTCGATTTATTTACAAAACTAATCTGATCAGTTGCAAATCATATAAATATACGCAATATGAATGGAATATATAACACTTCATTTGTGCTAATAATACTCAGAATTCGTGCTTTATCGGTAACGTCGGGTATTGGCACTAAAATGGTAAGGGGGCTTCTGACGCCCTCGAAGCATGGGACAGAAAATTACATTGCATGTTACATAGGTCTATTCATATATCTCGTCTGTGATATAGGGTTCTGTGTCTCTTCTGTAGCATACGTGAATAGTTTCTATGCCGACTGCGGATATATTTATAGAAATGGTGTTAACGATTCTTTCTAAAACTATATTCAGCATGCAAACGTACATAGTCATGTTGTATTCTTACAGAACATATTTTATATTCATTATGCATTTACAGACATGCAAGTTCCTTCGTTCTTTAACGTCAATTATCATCGGAGGAAGCATATTGTATGTCGATGTACATAGCAAGTTGCGAAAGAGAATTGCTCATGCGCTCGATAGCAGCGTTACGTACGCTTGTACATATAGTGAATATTCCGGGGGTGAGGGAACGAAGGAAAGGACATAGTGCATTAAAGCGCTAAAGGTTGCACGCGAAGCGGCGCCACGCCCGCCCCACCAAGCAGTACGACTAGTCAGAGGGGGACAGAGGAGAAGCTGTTAGTCGGCGCAGTCGCTCGCCGCGTTTTATGCAACCAGTCTTGCTTCGGAGCGAGTGAATCTACTCCTCGAGCCTTTGACAGACGGGGAAAGCGTGTGCAGTGGCATCGGTGTCCGTCTGGCCGCTTCTTGCTGGTCGGTCCTTGTCAATCGTACGACTGACTGTTCCGACAAGGCAACCGATTCGGCTCGATCCGGTTTTCTTCGTGCTCGAGACGTAGTACGATTGTGTAAACGTCCGTACTACGTACAACGTATTCTCGTCAGCTGCGTGCGCTGACTTTGCCGGCGAGAACTGGCCGTGGCTCGAAGGCGGTGTCGATTGTGTGTTCGTCATTGCCCTTGCATCGAATAAAATTTTACACACGGTTTTCTACACGCAGCTGGGATTATACGGTCGCGAACTCGTGTCTACTGATCGAGTGCCAGTGCGACGACGACAGTCGGGCGTGCTATACGGGTGTATTATCCACCGACTGTGTACATATTGGAGTGTATATGTGCGTAACGTGTGCGTAGAGGAAAACAAATTCGTCACTGTTGGGGGAACGAAAGAGACAGACGGCGACCGCGAGTGGGAGAAGGAGAGGCGGCCGTGAATCTACGGGATACGTGGCTACGTTCACGCCGCCGTATATTCCACACGGCACGACACGAAACACGACGACGTCGGCCCAGCTACGGACGGAGAGAACCGCGTTATCTGCACGCCTTCCGAATTATTACGAATTCGTGTAGCTTCGACGCGCCTTTTGGCGCGTTCAGCCACCTCGTTCGGTCGACTTCCTCGGCCTCCTCGTCGCCACTATGGCGGACGACGAGGTTCTCTTCGACGAGGTTTACGAGCTCTGCGAGATTATCGGCAAGTGAGTAATAAACCATGAGAAAGAAGGAGACAGCTGCACGTTGCATTGGTGTGAGTCAGGGTAGGGGAGCGAAAGGGTGGGGGAAAGTGTCAAAATGCGAGAGGAAAGGCTCACGACGAGAGGGTAAAGGAGATATAAGAAACTGTGTACGATGGTAAGAGAGAGGTGCTTTGACAGACGCTTTCTGTATGTATGTGCGCCTGCATATCTCTCTTACTCATCTCTATGCATATGTATATAGTAGGCGCACGCTGGCTCGTGCACACACTTAACGTATAACTGAGGCTGAGCGCACGAGTGCGCGCGCGCAAGTATGCCTAGTACCGCGTGTGCGAACGATGACGTATACATGTTGACTCAAAAGGGGAGAATGGGTGGTGAGTAACAATGCAAAAGTAGGGGAAAAGTGCGTGTCTATATAACATAGCAAGGAAGTTGATCTCTGCGTGGTGTTCATACAAATTTTTCTTAGTTTCCACATACTTTTTCGGAATTCCATCCAGTAACTTGACTCTACCCCTTTTTTAAAATGTAAACATTGTCTACTTCTTGTGCATACGCATAAAAACCTAACCCAGACCTAACCTAGACCAAACCTCTGTTCTGTTCAGTTACATGTTTATTTTGTGTCGAATGGTTCAATGATATATGTATAGATAGATTCATATATTTAGAACACTTGTTTACGTTCTGCACGGAAGCTGAAAATCTGCTACTACTATTCAACAAACTACATAGACAGTCGGAATCTTTTTTGCCTTCAATGAATTGAATGAAATTAATATTTCTTATTATTGGAAGAAGTTGATTTTATATGTAGGGAATTACAGTGTTGAGTAATGTCAAGTTGTTCCATACACAAGTTTATGCATATTTGCACCGATAAAAACATTATTACTATATATAGAAATACAATAATATAGAAAATGCACTGTAAAAGACACAGTATAAAACTAATTAACTAAAAAAATACCTAAAAATTAGAAGAAAATCACATTTTCTTCATATAAACTGCAATTAAATATCATTAAATCCATATGATTCTGTAATTTATGCAAGCTTGAAATTTATATGACGGATATAAAATGCAATTTAATATAAACAAAATATATATCGTGTGACCGATTTTTGCATGTTAAAAGGATAATTGAAAATTAAGAATGTGCTACACGTATGTTTCGTTAATATTGTAGGCAAAGCACGCGTATATAAAAAAATATATGTATAATGCATTCTTCCATCAGTTACAACTCAAAATCCTTTAATAAAGTTATACTTGCGACATAATGTCAATTAACGTTAAACATTTTCACGTATCTCATAAAACGCACGTACACGTTCCGTATGTATTGGAAAACTGTTGAACTGTTCGGTAAAATCCTCGACATCACGTAACTGTGTCACAGTGAAATGTAATAAAAATACGTATATATAAACGGGTTTATAATAAAATACAAGTAGAATCAAACGCTGTTCGCCAACTTTTTGTTATGATTTAAATGTGATATTCGAAATTATACACTTCATTGTTCATGTGTTACGCTTACTTTCTCCTGAAGGACTGAAACGTGTCAAGAGCTCCATTATTGTCACAAAATTTTCCAACGAGCAGATCACTTTAAAGTTTATTTTAAACGGCGTTAAATGAACGACTACGAGTCAGGAATTATTGCCTGGCGTTTTTTTAACGGAATGTAATAATCGGAGAAGCTTGAGTAAAATACGCAACAAGCAAACATGGGATTTATGGTTAACCGACTTGGCCGAAGGAAAATACCGGCATATTTTCTTTGAAAAAGTCGAAGGTAAATTGTTCGCAGACCTGTACATATTTTTTGTGTTCCTTCGCCCTCCTCCCCGAACGTTGAAACGCTCCATGAAATACTAAATGCCATTTGCACGGCTAAAGTTTAATGCCGGTACAGTCCGGATGAGATGGAAAGCTTGGTCCGTATTTCTTTTAGGGTGCTTGTCTTACTTTTCATTCTTCTCGTGAATCATTCGCGAATGCTCGTGTACACAACGACGGTACGTATGTCCACATTTTCTCAGTAGTCAGAGTAAATTCTTGATGGAATTCAGCCTTGAACTTAATTGTGAAGGATCGTCCAGAGCAGGCCTGCTGGAGATAATAGAATACTTTTTCTGTGCATCGGTATCGCTAGAGTTATAAAACATCCATGAGGAACAATGACGATGATCTATACCCCTGTAAAGAGAATCAAACGCAAACATAATTATTATTACTCTGAAAATTTATTGGAAGTGTTTAAAATTTCGACGAATCTATGTTCATAAATGAATTGGGTTACCTGGTTGCGCATTGTCTTATCTCATATTTTTTGGGCGCCTTAACGTTCTGGCGTTATCTGTGTCTTCTTTGATCACGTTGGGGGTCACCACTTTGGCCGTTATAATGGGATAAAAGGAACGAAAAGGAGGGTGCAGAATGAAAGGGGTGCGTTCCAGCCTAGGCCATATACTGGAGTCATCAGTAGAGTTACCTTTCTACTCAAGATATTACAAGTTGTTCTTTCCATGGCTATTAAGAAGATGGACATTCCTTACAAGAGAACATTCTTACTTCATTGAGAAAAGTTAAGGAGAACCCATTATATGAACTAAAAGATCGAAAGCATATTTTCATTTAGTACTCATCGTTTAAGTCTTCATTCATTGCCGTCGTACTTGTTATTGATTCCTGTATTTCGTCACAAATAGAAACATATTTTATGCCAACTACCGAGCCAGTCACCTTGAAATTTTACTTATATCAATTCAATTTTATTTATATTATTCAAGAAACAATCATAATCATGTTTAGTTAAACGTTAAAACAAACAGTTTTAGTAGTAGTATATCGCGTTCGCCACCGCTAGAACATTTGCAGTGTTAAATAATCCATGAACGAGAGGGTACACTAATTTGCTGTTACTATCCCAGGTGTCTAAACTGTAGCAATAGAGATAACCAACTAAAGATAATTTTAACATTTTATCATTTGTTGCAAGTATATGACCCATATCGTACCGATAAGTAATCTACCACATATATATAGTAGTATTTGGATTGAATGTTATTTACGGAGAATGAACAGGTCTATTAGAACTAACATTTTTCCTCGAGTATCAGCAATAATTAACGTAACCGAAAATACAAAATATAAAGTAATCCACAGATAAAGCTTCAAGTTATCTTTCGTATGTAACGTTCATTGTCCTAAAATTAGATTCAGTTTGGTAGTTCTGAACTAATCGTCGAACAAGCGTTGCTTTGATCAGGCTTCGATGCTGTTGACGATATCCTTGATTTCACCTCTATAATACATGCAGGCAAATCCAACTAGCCGCTCAGGGCCATAGAGGGGTTAATCCCACCATAACCAGCTATATGCATTCTAAGTCTTAGCAAGGGATGAGGTATACTTCGTGACGACATTCGCAACAGACAGGAGAAAAATTTTATTTGTTTAACTATGCTGCTGTCTATTTGGACCCAATTGTGTTTTCGTTTCTTTAACATTGTTACGATTTTACACACTTTTTCCACTTTATCTTAATCTCGTCTCTTCAGACATGTTCTTATGTTTGCGAAATATGGAAGGAAATTGTTACTGATTTTCGTGTCCCTGCTTCTTCGTTATTATTTCGAATGTACCTATAGCTAGATTAACACGTGATGCGTAAATATTTCATCTAAAATTATATTCCTGATATGTATTTCGTCAAAACAGTTACTCAAACAAGGTTTTTAACGTTTAAAAAATCCTTTATCTATTTTGTCATTGAGAATGATAATTACGTGTTCTTACCACCCTTATCAATTTCACTATGTTATGTGAACATTACGCTGAAATTTATAACGTTGTAACATTTTATCACTGAACGTTGATCTAACGGCTATCTAGATTTATGAAATATGTAAATTGCACTTTACAATTACCAGTCACGAGAGAACATGCTTACAGGAAGAGAACAAGGAGGGAGTTCTATACATTTAAGTTTTAGGATATATTAATTGTGTCTGTAGTTGTACCTTAGTTTTTGCGTAACAATTTTAATATTTATATTTTTGCTCTGCTTTACTTCTACTTTCACATAATTAGAAATAAAAATTCGGTGAATCATGTAATATTAACAATTTTAAATTTGTATCTTAAAATTGAGCACATGTATTGCATTCCAAGATTAAATGTTTGCTACAATTGTTACGCTTGCTAAGCATAAACAAGTTATATCGTACAATACAATAATACATTACTTTACAAATTCTTAATATCGCAAAAAACAAAGAAAAACATTAAGAGATATCAACAAAATTTATCAGTGACATTAAGTGCGCTCGAGAGCAGTTAACTTTATAAGGAAATAGTGTTTCGATATCATTTACTGAAAGTTTCTAGTAGAGAGTTATTTACTGCCACCGCGATAGACGTATTGTTTGTTTCCTGCGAGACTCTTTTGGCTTGCAGCCAATTATTAACTAAGATAATATGAGCATAGATGCTGCTTCATGCGAAAGGGTCTGATGCCATTGATCCTAATTACGCGTTGCCTGTGAAATGATACGCCCGACATCGCCAATTCGGAAACAACAAAACGTTCTAACAATATTCTCGTAGCAGCAATATGATTCAAGCTTCCTTTTTGCGTACACACGCTTCATTAAATTATAATGTGAATCATTTTTGGAAGGTAATACAGTTAAAGGACAATTGTCCACATTTTCAATTTGTAATAATTACATTGAACATGAATCTCTATTTTCTTGATTTGACCCTCTATATTTAGAATTTATGGATGCACAACTGTGCGATACATTTACTTAGCATTTGTAGACGAAGATGGAAGTTGTAATTGTAATGGTTAAGGGTATTAGGATGTTCCGAACGTTCCTTTTAGCGATACCAATTTTAAAAATGAAGAAGTGAGGTGAGGTTCTATGAAGAAGGTGAACTGCGAAGACTTGCAAACTCTAATTAAAGTAAATCTACTTTAGAC